TTTGGCATTGTTTAAATAGTTACACGTACAGCTAATTAAATCCAAGTACAGACGATAAAACCAACTGGAAACCAGACCACCTCGTAACTAACTAAATAAATAACAAAAGTCTTGCCATAGCCCAAGGCTAAACTTTGGGAAATTACCTACGTGCGAACGGATTTTTCGGGGAATCACGCGACGCCTTGCAAAGTTGCCAAATTTACTTTATATGGACATTTATTCCCGTATAATATTTTGTACTATTTTTAAAATTATTTAAATATGCGGAAAAAAGTCAAAATAAGCACGACCGGACAAAAAAGCATGAAAACTTTAAAAAAGCAAAAAAAGCATAATAAAAGCTATCGCAATATACTTAGTTTGGTATAATTCGTTTAGAAATTAAATAATCTAATGGTTGCTTATAAAATTCAGCAATACGCAAAATGCTTAAAATCCGGTCTTTAGTCATTACTATTAAAGACTTGCAACTGGACCATGTGGTTTTGGTCGAAAAAATCGGACATCAGTTTTTACTAATTACGATGACAGTTTTTATAATTAATTTAAACGTTTTGTTATTAATCTTTTAATATTTATTTTTCGCAAATTTCGTAAAATGCACGGTCTAAAACTAAAATATACAGAGTTTTGCTTTCAATACGAGCAACCTTAAAGAGTCTCTAACCAATGTAAGAAAAAGTAAAATCGGATGGTTGGCCCAGGACTTAGAAGAGAAAATGTGTTGTTCGGACAGAAAATGTTAATCACCTGTGGTAGCTTATTGACTTGGTGTTTTTATTTTTTATTTTATGAATTGTTGAAGATATTCATTGTTGATTTGCAAGGCAATAAAAAAGTATTTACTAACAATTACTAAAATTTATGGAATAATTCGTATGCATTCTTCTGGTAGGTATTCGATTTTTTCGGGTTTTATAAGCAACATTTCCCAAATGACCCGATAAGAAAAGGCTACCCGAATGAGATCTGAAGATTTTGTTGGTCATTCTATTGCAGCCCTTCTACCAATTAATTTTCCGAGATAACGCCGAGAGAATCTCAGTCTTGTTTGCAATTTCCTTTTTTTCTTTGAGTAGAAATTCGCTATTTTTTCTATTGTATGATAAGTGACCGCATCACATTTTCTCGAAGTTGACATTCGGCTGTCTAGCTAAATTCTCAATCTTCGCGCAAACTGAATGTTTGGGCGTGAATTCTGAGAAACCAAATTATAAGCGCATTATTTTTAGAAGAGAACTTAACCGGGTAGCAATATCTTCATCTTCTAGAAAATGTGATTCAGCCACTAATCATACAATCCTTAGAAAATCAAATTAATGAAAATGGTGCATTTCTGTTTGATAAGGCAAATTCCCATTTTCAACCAGATGTTAAGGAACAGTTGATTCAGCGGCAACCCGCAAACTATTTAGTAGGAATGGTGCAATAGTATGGACAGCAAGGTAGCCAGATCTGATTCCTTCAAAGTTTTTTCTATGAGGTCATTTGAAAGCAGTTGTTTACAATAAGCCATCTAACAGTATCAAGGGACTGAATAATTGAGTACCACAAGAGTGCAGATTAATTTTTCATTAACTTTTCGTTACCGTTCATAAAGATTTTTAAAAATACTATACTTTACTTTGCCTTACTAGAAGTAATTTACTGTGCCCTACTTTACTATTGCCTATCGAATCACGACAACAATGCTTTCCAACCTCGGTAGCAGGAACTATTTGAAGTTTTAGACCGATGGTAGATAAAAATTGAATTAAATATGTCACAGAAACTTCCACCCCTCCTTATTTACTCAGTATATTTTGTATATTTTATTCAATTACTCAAATTTAAAGCATATTTAACCTGGTTCGTTTTGAAATGAAAACCCTGTATATGTAGATTTGAACAAGATAAAAATGCAGAACAACTGAGATACTAACAACAAGTTAATATTTAGAGCAAAGCACTAAGGCAGGAAACAAATAAAATAAATATTCTGCCGTCTTGCGAGTTAAAGAAAAATGTACGACTCGAGCTTGAACTGAATAATAAATGTTGAATGCGTGAGGTAAATTGGAAGTAATGGCCGAAAATTGTTACTTTCCGTGTTATAGAGAAACTTGAAAATTTGTTGCAATCCAGTTAGGATATTTTTATTTCGTGTCTTGGGATAATATTGTTTTGTACGAAAACTTACTTGCGTTACCCTATGAATAAAGCTCATATCATCAAAATTTATCAGACGGATTACATTGTTTATTACATTGGGTAGCATTAGCTTATTTGCTGCGAATCATCGACAAAGTGATGGCAGTGAGTTAAGAAGCGATAAAAAGATGTTTTTCCTATTAACAATGAAAATATAAATAGGATGATGTATGTGACTCGATGGCCTTAGCTTAAGAACGTATTCTTTATGAGTTGCAAATACGTAATATGCTTTTTGACAAAACCCAAATGTTAAGGAGTTATGAGCAATATGAATTTGACGTAGAGAGTGAAGCAAAATGTATGCTGAATAAAACATTGTAATATTTTATTACTAATACAAAATGTAAGTTTTTATTCAAATTGTTCCCGCTGCACATTTTTGTTCTTCTAAATACTGTTAAGGTTTCAAGAACGTTAACTCAGACTTTGACTATGATGGTAATAACCGTCTACAATCGCATTAAAAAATTAAAACGATGCACTTTGATCTGAAGCTGAAAATAAACGATTTCTAACATAAGTAGGAGCGCTATTTTTGAAAATCCGTAGATAATTTCTTGACCGACACAAGAACAATTGTAAAAGTTGTATTCTCTTCTCTAAACGGGGCAGTTCCGGGTTAGGAGAATGACCTGCATCTGTCAAAAGACCATGCATTTTTAAATGCGGTCCATAACTCCTTAACATTTGAGTTTCGAAGCAAAGTTTGCAAGGCATTTTAGAGTTAAAATTGACCAAAAAATCGCTCTGTTACAAGAATTTTTCATTTTGGGCATAGTCTTACAAGCCTGACTCCAGGTGTTCGTTCTAAACCATGCAGACATAATGGATGATTAAAATCAAATCAAAATTAAGGTGCAATTTCTTGATCGGACTTGAAAATATTTTTTATCGAAGCTCTGGCTCAGTTGAAAGGTGTCCACTGGAAATAATAATACGCCCTGCACCATTTTATGTCTTAATTCAGAACTGCAGGAAATGTTTTCTTTTAGACGACAGACTCAATTTATCTTAAAAAACATGGGGATCTTGTTTCGTCCTTGTTTCGTGGCAGATTATAATGAAAGCCATTATGTACGTATCAAAGTTGGGTAAACATCAATAACAGTGTTTTTTTTTTCGCGCATTGTGCTTGAAAGTGAAGCGACCTAAATAGATTAAGTATTCTCGATAATGACGAATTAGTTATTGTTTACACGTGTATAAAAACAGTGTGTGGCAATTTTTCTAACAAACAATCCCCGTTAATTAATAGGGTTCTTACGTTTCCTTCACCTTCAACCGAGAGTAGGAAAACCGAAACCCGATTATACAAGAAGCAAATTGAGTTGTTAAGACGAATAATGACTGACTGTCCCTCCCTGTGATCATGACTCAAGCATAATTTGAACTGGAGACATTAGCAGTTTGTTTTCAGTCACTTAATGGCAAAGTTCCAAGAGCAGTTTCAGTTGAAATTCCAAAACAATAAAATGCTCGAAGGAATTCCGAAAATCCGGGGACGATTTAAATCGACTTTCCTAATAATGGGAAAAGTCGAGTTCGATCTCGATAAAACAGACTTCCTAATGACTTCTCTGGAAAGAAAATAGAACTAAGAAAACATTTCGCCTTGTGCTGGCGGTCACAATTGGAAACCCAAGAGGCTATTATCTATTTATAAAAACACCCGATTAATTGGATTGCTTTGCAAGTTGTTATAGGCATTATTTTGCTTAGATGGGATATTTTGGTTCGTTCGGACATCAAATCACGTATATTAGTAGTTTGGCATCAAAAGCCGAAAGAAGCATCTTTCAGCTATATGGCAAAAGTTACTTCTTGTTTCTGTTTAACGGCAATGAAATTTATCTTTTTTTTACTTTTCATCTCTTTTTATTCTATTTTTGTGGTTGGTTAATCCTAGTATGGTCCCGTGAAGTTTGATCCCATTACATTGTCCTCTAACTGTTGAATTTAAAATAAAGCTGAATTTTCTATTTGAAATAGTTTGTGTATATTTGGTTATAACGAAACGAGATTACAATAACCGAAACAAACAAACCATGAGTTCAGAAGAAGCTACCTGCTAGAAAACGGTGGATTTACCTTGAATACTAAGTATTCGTGATGTCCAATATAAAGCATATGAAAATTGAATGGTAAGAAAATGTAAGAGATTATTTAGAAAATAGGCTTATTGGTTCAGATAAAATGTATTTGGGTTCCTTACCCGCAGTTAAGAAACAAGTAATATGCTCGGATTTTTCTGTATTTAACATCGTTCTTAAGTGCAGCAAGTTTTTAAAGTTGTTTCAAACTCGTCGTAAGTCTTCGTAATTTTAATCTGAGAAGACGAGAAGAAGAAAAAGGTTCATCGCGGTACCACAAACTGCCCAATCGCCCCTAACACTTAGGAGTGAGTTGAGGTACCGTGTGGACTTTTCTCCTTATCGCTCAGCTGTTTTTGAGTTTACCTATCTAGTTTATTATATCCTTAAAAAAACCAAAGAAAACTTATAAGCCAAGAAATCCAGCCAACTATTTTTCCAGATCAAGAAGGGAAAACATTAAACCGATATTACATATCCGAACCCTCTTCTCATCTCAACAACCGTTCCGTTTAGATACGCTATCGATTGCTTTGTTCTGTAATTCATACATAATTTTCTTTGCTGTTTTCGTCGTGTAATTTTCCAGAATTGTTTCAGTGCCTCCCACAAATGTCCAAATAAGTGACAGCAATGGACTGGTGAAAAAAGATGTGACCGAGGCATATGCTGAAGGTGCCAGTTTAACTCTTGTCTGCACAGCGACAGGCGGAAAACCCTTGGCGAGGGTAAGTTGCTTTCAGAATCATAATGGGTGATTTGTTTGGATTTGTTATGACAATTATGATGCGGCTCATTTGGGCATGTATAGCCGGTTATTTATGAAGGAAAAGCATTTCACTTTAGCTTGTCTGACTGGTTATTTAGAGTTTTGTGTTGGACTCGGTGAATTAACAGTGTCCCCTAAGGGGCAAATGCTGCTTTGGATAATTTATCGTTAATGAATTTATGAAACGCAACAGTGTTTCACCTGTCTCAAATGCTTTCTAATTGCAGATAATACAGCGCAATAAGCATTACTCGTTTAAGTGTTTGCTTTGCGTCCGAGGAACGGGGTATTTTACCTTCAATTTCGTTTTTCTTGTGCTAGCTTTGTTTTATTTCAGATCCTGATCTGATAAATGCGGATAGTGATTTGCGGTAATTGGAGTTACGAATTGAATTCTGGTTTTTTATTAAATCTTTTGTACTTTATATACAGCAGGTCAATAAAACTATGAGAAGCGCCGCTAAAATGTTGGTTTTCTCCTTCGTCGCCCGTTTAAGTCCCGACTCGCATTTATGTTTTTTACAAATATGATTGATTTGAGAACTTCAAATCATAAAAATTCGATTGAAGGCCTCGTATAGTACACTCGCTTTCAAAAGTCTAGCACCCCCTAGTTATTTGGACATTTTAAAATTTTGTAAAACCTTGCAGACCCCGGTGTAAAATATAAATTAAAAGCTTCTAAAAACGGCAATATGGATTTAATTTCAACTCCCAAGCACTATCCTTCATTGTATATACTTGAAGACTAAATGACTGAAGTCCAGGAATGAATTTGATTTTTAATTTCAACAAATTAGCAGTTGTTAAAAGAAAATTACAGTCCGGATGCAAAAATTTTAAAAATTAAAAAATGCAATTTCTAACGAACAACTGAAAATAAAGAATTCAACAGCAAAATTAATTACATTTAGGAATGTTTTCCGGGCTTTGAAGCCGTGGTCTATCGGAATTTCTTTCTGACGTTTCGTCTACAACTGCGGTGGACAGTTTCAAAGGCCTGGGCGAAGTGATCTCCCGTGCTTTCCGACTAAGACTGATTCAACTGCTGGATTCTCCGTCGTATTTATGCAGCCCAGCAGTGTGTGCTCATGCGTGGGGGATGGGTGGGGGTTCCAACGATTCGGCGTACATGCTGTTTGGCGCAAAACGCGCTTCCAATCTGGATTGAGTGCCGTAATTTCTTCTTTTCTGTTAATATTGTTTTGGTGTTTAAATATTTCGATGGCCTCTCTGGTGAGTCTCGGGTAGTATCTTTCAGATTGGGGCAGAATGTCAACTTCGTCGAAGCGTA